ATAAACTGAGGCCACAGTCATGCAATAGTTAATGGAGGAGCCATTTATTACTGACTTGAACCTAAGCTTTATGGTCAAAGATTTCAGGTAAAATGTTAATTTCTAATGTACCTTCTCTCCTAGTCCATTTCATGTTTCCAAAACATTAAACTTAGAGCCTCACAAAGCTCTATTTTCCTCTTGAATTCAGAAACAAGGCTGTTACAAGCACAGAAAGACAAATATCACATGTTCTCACTCAGATGTGGAAGCTAAAAAAATGGATCTCATGAAGATAGAGGGTAGACTAGTGGTTATTAGAGGTTGGGTAGGGTAGGGGGGAGGGAGGATGAAGAGAAGGTGGTTAATGGGTACAAATATATGGTTTGGTAGAAGAAAGAAGACCTAGTGTTAGATCAGTAGGGTGACTATAGTTTGCGATAATCTATTGTACATTTCTAAATAGCTAGAAGAATTGGAATGGTTCTAGCATAAAGAAAAGACAAATATTTAAGGTGATAGATATCCCAAGTATACTGATTTGATCTTCACAAATTATATGAATGTATTAAATTATCATATGTACCCTCCTCACCATGCACTACCACTAAAGATAATTTTAAGCTCTACTGTGTAAATAATCAAGTACAATGATTATTCTACCAAGATAGCATATATCAGAAATCAATCCATCGGGTCCTTTGGATAGAGGTTAATAAATGGATATTCAAATTAGCTTTAAACTAAATAAAGTAATAAAAAATGAAATAATGAAAAAAGAAATGGGGTGTTTAGACAACTTTTCTACTTACATCTTTTATCACTGCTCAAGCTTTTGATTTAAAAATTACTTTAATATATTCTTATTGAATCAATCTAAATATCTGAACAAAAGCAGGTATAGTTCAGAAACCCTGAAATTTAAGAAGGAAAGCAAAAAATTAAATAAATCAAAAGCAGTCTTCATTTGTTTTTTTTTCCATTAATAGATTTTTTTAATGGAGACCTGAACAATGAAGTTCCCCTTTAGATATGACTATTTAAACAAACCAACAAAACCATTTGGAGGCAAAAATAAAATTTTAAAAACAATCTTTGACCATGGCTCAATAGCTAAAACCAAAGCTTGCTGAATGACCTGGTATCTCCACTTTTCATTTGTGTAATCTGGACAACTTATTCAATCTTTCTGAACCTAGGTTTCCTCAACTGGATAACAGAAACCCACTTTACGGGGTTGTTGGATTTAGGGAGGAAGTTTGGCAAGTTTGGCACCTATAAGACTTCAACTTATGGCTGTATGATACCAACTGTGAGAAGAATTCTCATGTCAACTTACAGCTATCTCGGGGGACTTCTAATGACCCACCCAACGCTAAAGTTTCAGTTTGGTGGCTAAAACTCACATTGCTAAATTATTATTTTTTTGTAATAATGCTAAATTATGTAGAATATTTCTGCTATTTAGCTAAAATGTTCCTGCTAATTTAGCAGAAAACCAACAGAGGTTTACGCTAATATTGCCTTGTATTCATAGTCATATCTTTTTATAAATAATCCTTTGGATAAATCTAAGTGATAATATATTAATAAATTCTTAACTTTAAAAGTTAAGAGCAAATTTTTGGGGCATCCAGGGAGCCTGTGTCCCACAGTTATTTGGCCATAGGAAAGCCATGAACTCTTAGCTTTCCTTTCTTCCTCTGTTCCTGATGAAGATGTTGATTCTTTTTCTCTATTTCATGGCATTTATCACACTTTCAATAACTTATCTTCTTTATTGGTGTTAGGTCTGTTTCCCCCTTAGGTTGTGAGGTCCAAAGGCAGGAATCATGTGGATCTGCTTCCTGCATGTCCAGAGGCCAGCACAGGGCCTACCTAGTACATAGCAAAGAAACACCTAAGAAGTATTTGTTGGATGTTACAAAGTAACACCATGGACGGTATTCTATATGCCCAAGATATTGTTAAAACTAGGCATGTTATTTCCATTTCACAGGTAGAAAATAGGCAATATAGAAAATGGCAACACAGATTTAACTGATCCACAGTTAATTCATGTTCATTAGCACCCTCTCCATCTCCTACTGAAACAAACTGAAAAAAATCCCTAACGTTTCTCAAGAAATATGGGAAATTTCTGAACTTCGGCTTGACAATCAAGCACATGAGCAAACTGAATAAAAAAGTAAAAGGTTCAAAAAACAAAAAAGAAAAACCCAAGCAGCAAATCTTTTATTTCTAGCTTCCGATAAACTCACTTCCTGTTATTCTGTCCAGCTGTGTAACCTATGGGTAGAATAAGAAGAATATTCTTCTACGTTGATTGAGAAGGTGCTTTGTGATATTTGTTTTATTTATTTTATATTTTACAGAGACAGGGTCTTGCTTGTTGCCCAGGCTGGAGTGCAGTGGCATGATCACAGCTTACTGCAGCCTTGAACTGCTGGCCTCAAGCAATCCTCCCACCTCAGCCACTCGAGTAGGCAGGACTACAGGCGTCAATCACCACATCTGGCTAACTTTTTTTGTTTTTGAGACAGAGTCTCACTGTGTTGCCCGGGCTAGAGTGCCGTGGCGTCATCCTAGCTCACAGCAACCTCAAACTCCTGGGCTCAAGCGATCCCGCCTCAGCCTCCCGAGTAGCTGGGACTACAGGCATGCGCCACCATGCCCGGCTAATTTTTTCTATGTATTTTTAGTTGTCCAATTAATTTCTTTCTATTTTTTTAGTAGAGACGGGGTCTCGCTCTTGCTCAGGCTGGTTTCGAACTCCTGAGCTCAAACAATCCACTCGCCTTGGCCTCCCAGAGAGCTAGGATTACAGGCGTGAGCCACCACGCCTGGCCTGGCTAACTTTTTTTATTATTTGTAGAGATAGAGTCTCACTATGTTGCTCAGGCTGGTCTTGAACTCCTGGCCTCAGCGATCCTCCTGCCTTGGCTTCCCAAAGAGCTGGGATTATAGGCATGAACCACTGCACCTAGCCTATCATATATATTGTAAATGAAGAAACTTTAAAATCCACTAACATACTTTTTTTTAAGTTAAGAGCAAAGTGTACTTAGAACACCAATTTAAAAAGTTAATAATTTAGATTTTAATAAATTCAAATGTATTCACCAACTCAATATATTAATTTTATATTCCTAAAGGAATTTATTTGCATAAACTGTTTAAAACAGAGCCTGGAACTTAATAAAACACTCACATTTGATAATGCTAGCTATTATTATTACATTTATTGCATGTTGGACAATTCTGACTTTTGAATACAACGTTCTTGGTGAGTCTGAGTGGAGAGATGCCCTACTTACGGGTGAAGTTTACAGTGCGTTTGCACACATCATTGCAAGTGTGTCCCGACAGCCACATGGTGGTGGGCAGGCCACTTGACCCAGAGTGGGAGATCTGGGTGCTAATTCCTGCTCTGGCTCTTAAAAAGTCTTGTGAGCACAGGCAAGTCCGAATCCCTTTGATCTTGTTTTTTTTTTTTTTTTTTACCCAATTGCAAGAGGAATAGCATTGCAGTCCCCTAGCTTCCAGAACTCTTGAGGGAATTATGAGAAAAAATAAAAAAGCTATATTCATGTTTAAAAAGCAGAGCACTTTCCCTGTTATCAGTCTGGTTCCTCAAATCAACAGCTGGTACAGTATAAACTACCTATTTCAGCTAAAGAGAAATGTCAGAATAAACCCAAAGGATGAAGAAAGGTGAATCAAGATTAAGCATTCACTTTTTTTAAAAAAAAGAAAATCCTTTTCCTTAATTTTATGTAAAAGTAAATCCATTTCCCTATTCCTTTTAAGCCTCTGATATTTTCTAAAATTCTGACTAAGTTCATTTTCACTTCCTTTCATTCACAGATTTCATTAGGGGTCACAGTCCAATGACCGTCAGGGTCACAGCCTGGCCAGGGTACACCCTCCCCAAATGGGACACCTTATCTCTGTAAGCAGAGAAGCAGGAAACAGAGCCGAGCTTTCCTGTTGCAGCTCCATTTTCATTCTGAAGTCTGCCTTGGCCCTTCCAGGGCGCTGCCGCTACCCTCTGCCCAACTCTTTTGAGACTACACTTACATAAGAACCTCGGCTTGACAGCCTTTCAATCTGTCTTAAACACAGGAGACAAAGTCTTTAACGTGTGACCAATTACTCTTTTCCCAGGCATGAAACCCACAACATTCAAACAAGGGTCTCCTGAGTCAGCACTCAGAAACTACGTTTTTCATTATGGATGGAAGAATGTTTAAGGAAAATTAAGTGAACAAATAATTTACTTTAAAATTTATAAATACATTTAAATAACTGGTTTACATTATTTTTATGTAAGTATCATTTACATCAACTTAAGAGAACTATGAATAAATGGGAAAAGTTTGACACCAAAAATAACAGAGTGATTGCTTAACTCACAAATTGGAATCGTTGTGACTTGAAAAGTTACGAGATTAGTCAAGTTTGGTTTAAGGTGGTTTGCCTTAAATGGCTTGTTTTATGGCAGTGCTGTTAATTATTCTTTAGTAATTAAATTTTTTCCTCCAATGCTGTAGAACTTGTTGAGAAAATCCTCTACTACAATACAGAGAATCACATCATGTTTGCATCTCTTAACAACTTCAGATTCCTTAAGTATGTTATTTGTCTCTTGGTAAAGATTTATGATTCCCATTATGGATGTCAAAGCTTCTGAAAGTGGCCCAGAAATATATATAAACAATCTTAAAACTCAAGTTCACATTCTGAGTAGATCTACAAATCCACAAATGTCATCTTTCAAAGAACCAGAAAAACCTTAGAGATCCCTGCAAATTCTAAAACTCTGAAGGATACTAAACCATAAAGGAAGTTAGCTAGATAGTTTGACATTAGTTTTGGGTCTAATTTCTGTTTCTTCCAGTCAGCAGGATCTGGTTAAATTGCTTTATCCTTCTTCCCCGAATACATACCAGTTACTATTTTACAAAGCTCCAACTGAGTGTGAAACTTCAGTCCCTATTAAGCAGAATCTGCTTACAAACCTGTTATCATTTGCTGTGCATCATAGGGTTCCATGTAACCATCGTTCTCTCCTACTCTCTCTGCATCTCTTTGACCCTTTGTCCGTTTGGCATCATATGGGTCAGCATAGTCTTCTAAAATGATGACCTGTAAAAGAACAAGGACAGTTGCTAAGGATTACCACATACCAAAATGGTGATGGTATCAAAATGGCTACTGAAATTGCCTACAGATCCAAACAGAGGTTAAAATCTCTAACCAGTTCCTGATAGCTTTTGCACTTGATGATGTATCCCAGTTGGACAAACATCTGATATTTTTTTGGTAGTGTAATTGATTTGCAACAATTCATCTAATCTCTTTTACTTATCCGCAAAGCTCTTTTTACCTCCCTTTCTCTCCATAAGCAATAAAGCATCTGCTGAGTTAGAGGGTAGCAGAAACGGGTGGTGGGGAGTGGAGGGTGTCTGGCGCTTTACAGCACAGAGATGAATTGGTCTACCACATACCCCATGCTTTGGGTTTTTTTAAACTCCATCAGCTGACTCAGTCACGGGGAGTCAGTCAGTCCTCCACTGGCACTGGCTAGGTACCGGGTGTCATGCAAGCAAGCCAGCAAGCCATGCTTCCTGTCCTCAAGGAATTTCTAACAGCTCTAAGAGACAGGCTTCATCAAGGAGAAATAGGTCAGTACCAAACAGTGCTGAGAGTTCTAAGTTCAACAATTCACAGGCAAACTGACTGTCACAGGCTATACATCAGATAGAGTTGTGATCAGAATTTGTGTCAGAAAGCATCTATCTTTCCAAAATTAGAAGGTGCATGGAGAGGTGGTGCGTGTGCAATATTTCTGTTCTGCAGGAGCTGAGTGACAACATCAGAGGGTAAGGAACCCGTCTCAGAGAGGAAGCTCTAGGCCTTACCCCACAGTGTGGTTACATTCTCCAAAGAGTTCACGGAAAAATACCACTGGAGCTAGCAGGAAGAATTCCTGCCAGATAAATGAGGGAGAAGTGAAGAAGAGGGAACGGCCTGGACGCGGGCCCTGAAATGGCCTAAGAAACCTCAGACACCCAGAAGTGACAACCACAAAAATAACCAACCTATGCAGAGGACTGTGATTACCATTCACTCACTCAATCAGTTTTTCTCGACTACCCAACACATGTACTGCAGTTGCAAGGTACAGCGAGGAACACAGACATGATACTCAGCCCTTGGCTTCAAGCTGCTTATGATCTAGTCGGGCAGGCCCCCGAGTGACGTGAGCTTTGTCCATCTTTACACGGCCCTTTGCTCTGTGTCTGGCACGGGGTAGGCACGCTGTAAACATTCGTGAAAAGAATGAATGCAGGAATGAACAGAAGTGCCCAATGCAGGCATGTGTGGTATGTGTCACAAGCTCCTGACTCCATTCGGGGAGGCAGCATGCTTGCAGCCCGGGGCCAGAGAGAATTAAAGTTCCCATGTGAGGAAGTGATTGCCTGGACTGGAGTCTAAAATCTCACCTCGAGCTTGTCTCTCTCTCCCTTTCACATAGGGAAGAAAAGAAAAACAACCAAATCGAACCAACTCATGGCTGTAAAAATGGAGAGGCCCTTGGACACGTTCACACTCCTTAACTTTTCCACATTGGACACCACCCAGAAAACCTCCAGTGTGTAAGCAGCAGGAAACACCTTCCTCTCTCCTCATCTGTAATTTCCTTAAGTGCATTTCCTTGTCGTATTCTGTATCCCCCACAGCCCTTAGTGGCCCATGCCCCTTACCCTATATGGCTGCTGTATAACAAATGCCCACAGAATGAATGAAAGGGCAGTAATCTTGGAGTGTTGCTGAAGCTCTGAGAAGCCCTTTACTAGGTGGAACTGTAGAGAATGATGGAACTTCCAAATCAGTGAAGAGGGCTGGCCCACCCACTTCCTGAAGCTTTGAAATCCATGCTTACGTGGTTTAGAGGTTACTATTCCTTAAGCTCAAGGATAAAAGTCATACAAAAGTCTAGCTTTGGAATTCCCCTGCATATAAAAATTAAAATAAACCACATCTATAGAGGGGTCAAGTTTAACAACGCAGTAATATCTCATTCAATTACTCTTCTAAACTGCTAACAAAATTAAATGGATAGTAAAGCTATCTGCAAAGCTCCCCAGCTCTAGAATAAGGATTTTTCAAGATAAAAAGTCTAATGACTGTAAATGGCCACGTAGGAGTCACCGAATGGTGGAGGGAGTAAGGACCCTAGGAAACATATCCTCACTCTCTTAGGTATAAAGAAGCCCGGGGAGTTTAGCAGGTTCGCTAAGCTCCCCTCCCACTGAGAGGTGGTCCAAGGGAGGTTGTATTCTTACCGTGTCTTGCTGCTTAATAATCTTGCCCTTGTCCAGCTCGGGGCCCAGGGAGGAAGGGGAAGAGGACGCGGAGGAAGAGCTGCTGCTGCTGCTACTGCTGCTGCTACTGCTGCTGGGGTAGCTGCTCTTCCCATTCTTCTCCTGAGTGTCCACCTTGATGAGCCTGTTGATGTAGGTGCTGCAGCCCGAGCTCTTGGTCGCACCCCGGTGGGGCTCCTCCTCGGTGGCCCGGGAGTTCTTGCGACCCTTGCCCGCGGCGGCCTGAATCAGACCCTGCAGGCTGTCCCGGGACAGCCGGCTGTCCTTGGGGGGACCGACGCCGGCCCTGCCGCTCCCCAGCTCGGCCGCCGAGTTCTTGCGGCCCTTGCCCGCGGTCTGCCCGGTGCCGCCGGCCTCCGAATTCTTGCGCAGTTTGCCGCCGCCCCCGCCCCCGGGCTTGGCCCGCTCGGACACGGTCTTCAGGTTCAGGGGGAACTCCTTGAACCACTTTGCCGCCATGAGGGGGCCCCGGCCGGTTTGCCTCAGGAGCGTCGTGGCCGCGGAGCAAGCGATCGAGGAGGCCCAGCCCAGACACGGAGAGGCACCAGGGGTCGGGGGCCACTGCATTCCCCGTGACTGGGGCGCTGGAGGCCGTGGCGAGGCCCCGTGACGGCTGCTCCGCGCGCCCCCGGCCGGCCGTCGCCCACGCCCGGCAGGGTGGTGCCCCTACGGTCCGGGGCGCCGAGCGGGCGGCCGCTGGCCTCCGCTCCGGACACGGACGGCGACAGGCACGACGCACCGGGGCCCCGCCCGGGCTCGTCTTCAGCGCCTACACAGGCCGAGGGCACTGCGGCTCTCCGGAGGCGGCGGGCGCCGGGGGCTTCCCCCTGCTTTTCCTCCCGTGGTGGGAGAGGCCAGGCCCACGGAAGCCCCCTGCAGCCCTGCCCACACTCCCAGGGACTAGCGGGGACGGAGCGGAGGCGGCGGGAGTGTCCCCGGCGCCGGCACAGACGGTGGCCGGACGGCGTGCAGCCCATCCCCTCCCCGCGCCCCTCCCCTCCGAGGCTGGCGCCTCCCAGCCCCGCCAATTCCAGCCCAGAGCGGGGGCGGCGGGGCGAGCGCCACTTGTGAGGAGGGTACGGGGTGCCTAGTCGGGAGAAGGTGGTATCGGCTGCACGTGCCGACCGGCCGCGCCCCTGGAGCATAGAGCCACCGCACTGCTGCACAAACAGCCCCATCTGCGTGGAGCCTTCAAACGCGCCCAGAAGTGTGCCACGTGCCGCTCGGGCCCGAAGGACGCCCTTCGGCTAGCGCAGGGCGGGGCACGCCTCGCTCATTCACTCCACTCCACTTGCAAACTTTACTTTGGGGGGTGCAGTAGGGGGACAGCGGTCACTTGCTCTCGCGCTCGTTCCGTTACTCTGCTGGGGCACCGCCACAGGGACCAGGCCCTGCCCGCGCGGCCCAAGCCGCGGCCGCCCGAGGATTGGTTGCGACGACCGCCCCGCCCCGCGCCCCGGGACTCGGGGGAGGTGGAGCGCAGAGGCACAAGGCGCGAAGGCTCTGCGCTGGCCGCGCTGTGGCCGGGCGGCTGGGAGAGGAGGTACAGGAGGTAGGCTTGCTGGTTCCAGTCCCCAGGCTGCAGGGTGCGGGGTGGCGGGGACAGGGGCGTTGGCAGGCACTAGTGGAAATTTCACCCCCCATGGAAAGGGTGGGAGGGCACGCTGTTAGCGCCAGGGCCCGTCGCTCGCACGCGCCAGGTGGGAGGGACAGCTCAGTCGGAATGCGTGCGGACGGGGAGCGCTTTGCGCAGAACCATGGGGCACTTAACGTTAAGAGACGCCTCTGCTATTCCCCCTCCCTTCGAAGTAGTTTAAGAACTTTTTGGTTTAAAAAACTAAGTTGAAACATGGTTTCTAAGACAAAAATCTTTTAGTTTGACGAACTAAATGTGCTGCCAGGGCTCACGCAACACGTTCTAAACCCTCACATACAAGCCTTGGAAAC